ACCTGGTCGCAGGAATGACTCGATATTCCTCGTCGATGGCTATGGTCAAGTGCACGGACACAACCCGATCCCTATTTTCTTAGTTTGATTGTGAAAATTTGCTCGAAGCCCAGAAATTTGATCAAACCCAAACGCAACACTCACATCTCCCATTATTTCAAAAATCAGAAATTTCAAATAGATGAGGTTCTAAGCAATGAAATTGATTCCAGATTTTTGTTCTACGAGGACCTGCCTCACTCATATATGTTTAATTGAAGATTATTTCATCAAATCTCTCACAGATTTGAGTGGGTTGAAGTTAAATTCCGAAGAGGAGATTTGGGAATTTCACCCAAATTAAATTTTCTATTTTTTCAAGATTTGCTCCCTAGTTTTATTATTTTGTTTGATTTAGTCCCTAAGTATTAGAGTTAATTCAATCAAGTCCCTCTAAAATTTAAATTTTTAAAAATACCCCAAAAATTTTGGAGTATTACATTAAATATCAAAATGTTTATTTAACTTTTTATAATAAACCAATATTTCGTCTCCAAACTAAACGCTTTCAAAAGGTATTGAAAAAGGTGTCGTTGTGATAACTGAGATCTAATAGAATGTGTTTTTCAAAATTGGCTACAAATCCCCTTATATGTATCGTATCGTATTAGCACCCACTATAGATGAATAAATGAATAAAATAAAAGTAAATCATATATAATAATATGACATATAGACGGGACTAAGTATGATATTTAGCCTTAAATTTTTAACATACATTGAAAAGATTAATCAATAAATATTTAAATTTTTTATAAATTTAAATAAATCTCTAAAAAAATTTATTTTTTTTTACACAATTTTGAAATCAAACAATATATTTAATCTAAAGAGACGAGACCCATTGATTAATGCTCTTGTTTAAAATTAAGCACCACTACTCAATTATTTGCAATAAAACCTCTGCTGCCTTATGATGTAATAGTCCCCAAATTGGGAAAAAAAAAGGAGTTGACTATACTGTAACAATACCTTACTTTAAAGTCACTTTAGAGTGCAATTAGCTCTGTTCATGGGCTGTGAATTGGCTCGGATTGGGACTAGACCACCAATTATGAATCGGTCCCAGAAAACTTTTATTTTTTTACATAAATATAATTTGTGATATTACTTTTAATAAATAATTTATTTTTTTTTAAATATGAGTTGTTTAATTTTCTTAATAAAGAAGAGAACATTTTAAAATTAAGATTATATTATTAAATGAGATAAATTTTAACTTGTTTAATTATTAAATAACTAATAATAGATTAATTATCAATCTATTAAATTAAACTTGTTTAATTAGTTTTTTTTTATACAAAAAGTGTTAATAATAAAATAAAATAAAATAAAACCTTCTAACTTTTTATTATGTATAATATATTTTATTTTAATTTTAAATGAAAAATAGAAAAATTTTAAATAATAAATATTAAACTTTTAAAATACTAAATATTTCACGATTTATCACGATTCTGGTTTACGTTTCACTCGCGGTTCGCGGTTCACGGTTCATTATTGGTTTTGGTTCATGATTTATTTATGGTTCCAGTTTACAGTTCATAGTTCATAATTTATTCTCGGTTCTAGTTCACCAGTTTCTTTACAGTTCCGGTTTTGGGTTTTTTTTTTAGGTTCAAAAAAACTTGAACTATAACTAGATCACGAATCTTTACAATTCAAAACTGGCCAAATCGGATATGCTGGTCCGTTTGGGCCGGCTAACTGCCTTGAGATCGGGCCAAACAAGATCCATCAAAACTCTTTGTGGTCTTGCGCTGACCCGTCAAAGTAAAAACTGTTATAATGAAACAACGTCACTATCCCGTTCTTAACAATAATGAACCATATTTTTAGGAGAAATTGCAATATTTTATTTGTATATTAATGTTATTTTTAATTTATGCCTGGGCATGGTAATACCCAAATGTTGGATCAAACTCGACTTCACTCGATTCTCAATGAAAACAAGTGTTAACTGTTGAGTATGTTTGGATGCGATTTAACCCATTTCTAATAAATCAAAATAATAAAAGAAAATATTTTGTATGCCCAAAAATGTTTTTAAAACTCAACCGGCTGTCGAAATGGGAAGTTATCCGGTTCACAGGTTGATCGGTTGGATCGGTTCAACCCGTCCGATGTCATCTATTATTTTAATACAAAAATTTAATATTAAATTTGTTGTCGTACTGCGGGTGAAGCTGCATCTGTCTTTTAACTTCCGCTTCATGTCCTTCATTTTTTATTTATTTATTTTTGGTGTAGGTAAAGCTGTCGTCTTCATAGGCAATGGCGGTTCTGCAAGCAACGGGGCATTAACTGGATTCTGCGTCCACGCTTGGGGAAGAACCGACGCAAGAGTCATGTCTACATCTTTCTCTCTCCTGCTTTTTCTCTCTTTTCATCTCGCTGCGTTCTTTCTCCACCAATCAGTGGTCCCCTTCTTTTTCCTTCGGCTTTTAACCTTTTTCTTTTATTATTTTCCTGCAGAGATTAACCTGACCGTTCAACTAATAATGTGATCCCGACGGGATTCCACGATGAGAAGAAACAGAGCGGTAATGGTAGAGGGTGCGGACCAAGAAATCCGCCCAAAAGAGAGTTCTCCGAACTGGGTCGGACGGATCTTGCCGACACGTCCCGTTCCCGGTTTTTAGCGTATGCATCCGCCGCTTGCAGTTATATCGGTTCTACTGGACTTCCGCTCCGGTTCTCCAAACACTGTCTTTAATAGTGATTGAATTTTCATCATCCCCACCTAATCATAAGTCCGACCAGCTACGAATCCGACATCACCATTCCATTATCTAGCGCCCACCCCATCACAATCCGTATCCCTAATTGTTGCGGGAAGAAAGTAGGTTGCCTGAAGGGTGATAATGTAACCCACCATACTCAACGAGAGGGACCCAAAAAGGATTCCAAACCTTGGGAAAATCTTTTTTTTAACTTTTTTTCTCAATAAGAATGAGATAAAATCAACTCCAACACTTTAGTTTGTCAAAATAAAAGTTACAGAAGACTCTGTTTTTCACACACAATATTCTTGACCAGTATAACGTTATTAACCACGAAATTAAGGTCAACTCGGGCTTTTTTTTTTAAAAAAAGAGGTAAAGTCAATCGTAATACTTTATTTTATTAAAATAAAAGTTAAAAAAACTTTATGTTATATTCACACGTGCAGTTTTGACTGGGGTGAAATTACCAACCACGAAATTAGGAGCAAACCCCCGCTCACTTTAAATAAATCTATTATACACACATGCACTACTGACCAGCTGGGATTACCAACCGCAAAATTAGAGCAAATCCGCACTTACTTCAGGTAAATCTATTACAGAAGAATCAACTCAAACCTGCACGGTGACAGATGGAGGTAGATTGGATGCTTAATGACAACAACTCAATAAAAAAAATTAAAATAATAATAATAATAATTTTTAATTCCTACGATTTCTCATAATCAAATATATAAAATCATGGATAAGAAAATATTAATATAAATCAAAAATTAATTGGGAAGAATCTGATTCTTCTATGCTCCCGTGTCATTTGTAGAGTCTAAATTGACGCATATGCTTTCAAATAGGTATATGTTAATTTAATTAATTTTTTAGTTTCTTTTTTTTGTCCACATTAGAATTTATTTTCTGCCTTCCATCGATCAACTCAGTCTTCATCAAACAATTAAAGTCGATGTCGACAAAGCCCCATTATTTTAATTAAAATTCTAATTTACTCTTACCCAATTTATTTATCATAAAAATATTTAAAAAATTTACATTATTAGTCTTTTATGTTTAAATTAAGTGTCATACTAATTTTTTAGATTAATAATATAACATTTATATCTTTCAAGTTTAATATATATTTTAGTATAATCTTTATATCTAATTTTTAACTTTTTTCCAATCACTTAATAAAAACAAATTTATCACTAAAAAAATAAAATTTATAATTTTTAAAAGATGCAGTACACTTTTGAGAAGAATTTGATTTTAAAAGAAGAGGCCAAACTTTTTAAAGAATTTTATTTGTAATTAATAATTTTAGTATTTTGTACCGTTAATTTATTATTTGATTAATAAAAAATAAAAATTAATTATATCTTTTAATTCATAAAATAAACTTTCTTTTTTTTTTTTTCAACCCAAACACTAGTAACAATAGTAAATAACTGATAATTACCAAAGTATTCACTAAAGTAATTTTACCTAAATTAAATGATTAAAAAATGACCAAAATTGACTAAAAGACTAAACCAAAACATATAATAAACTTTGAGAAGTATAACTATTATATTTTTAATTTAAGAAACTAATATAACACTTAGTTTAAATTTAAGAGACTAGTAATGAAATTTACCCAAAATATTTTATCATAATTAACAATTATTATAATTATTTTACCAAACATTCATTTATTATTTTTTTCACTTTTAACAAAATTTACAAATATTTTTCAAAATTTATAATTTTAACACATTTTTACCTATTCAAACTATCTCCGAAATGTAACACCCTTTTAGAAGATAACCCTTCCAAACAAGTCCTTAATACCTTCAAGCACCTTACAGCTAAAAATTTCACAATTTATTATTTTTTTATAACAAGAAAAAAGACTACTTGCTATGAATTTTTAATCTAATATTAAACAAATTTTATCCCCTTATCAATTTTCAGTTATTTTATTTTAACTAAAATAAAAATATAAAAAAGACCAAACAATTCTGGAAATAATTATGTAAAATTAAAGGCCTCCTGAAATTCAGAATTTAATTCTCACATTACATATTTATTCCATAAATAATATATTACATATAGACACATCCACACAAAGCTCACAAATTAGAATTATTTTTTTTTTCTTATATGAACAAATAAAACCCATTAAAACCCTGAAGTGAGTAATCTTCTTAATCCAAGCCATGCCGCTTCTTGAGCTGAAGAACAAACTCGTAGACCCGGTGGGGGTCAGGGAGGGACTTGCCGACGCTCTCCCTCTGCATGCATCTCTTGGCCCATGCCACAAACTTGGGGCACTCCGCCTCTATGCTGAACTTGCCCGCAGGTCTCGTAGGCGTAGAACCAGCTGTAGAACGGGACCAGGGCTATGTCCACGTACCCCAATTTGTCTCCGCCGAAGTAGGGCTTGTCGCCGAGCTCACCCTCCAGCACCCTGAGGCACTCTATGAACTCCTTCTTCCCGCCTCCTGCTCCTCCCCCTTCGTCGCCCAGATCTTCCTGCCGGCGTCGTAGATCTGCATTTTACCCCACCATCAATCTAGTGTTACTTAACAACTTTTTTTCTAATCAGTTAAATGCATTTTCCTCATCACATACAAAATATCCTTTTGTTTTCGGGCTTAACCTCAATTTTTATTTAAACATTATTTATTTGGTTTTTAAAATTAAATAAATTAAAATTTAACTGTTTTAGTTATATACAAACATTTCTATTAAACAAATCAACTTAAAAAACAAAATTTAATATTTCATTATTTTATCATCTCAAAAAAAACCCCTTTAATTTTTAACCTTTGACATTATTTGCTATAATATTATTAGATTTTTCAAAATGGATGTCCAATATGGGAATTCACTAAGCGTGGTTAAGCAATCTATTTAAGATACCCATTAGAAAAATCCATAAATATAAGTCAGTTTCTTAAATAAAATTCACCTAATATTAAATTTTTATAAGAATAATATGAAAATAAAGGCTTGTATCCTATAATCAAATAATAAAAAATAAAATAATTATAAAAAAATATACACAAAGACCTTTTACTTGTGCTGAATAAATATTGTTTGATGAATGAAATAATTTAATTATTAAATAGTTATATGATTTCTAATTATTTCAAAATATTTCACTTATAAATATAAAAATTAAAAATTAAAATTTTTAATTACATCCATCTATATCCATGCCTTAATCTTATCAAAATTAATACCCATCCTTCTTAGCTACCTCTGCAATGAACACCTTAAATTTTTCAATCACGTAGTAGTCTCCAACCCACTTCCATCAAATGTTGAAAGTGACCCACTTACAGTATAAGTTTGACCCCTTCTTTTTTAGATTTTTACAATATTTTTATAGAGTTTAAAATTAATTTTATTTAAAATTTTATAACTAAGATTAGAAATATACATTTTTAGATATTCAAATTTGATTTTTCATAAATATAAAAATATTTTACTATCTATATAAAACTATATTTTAAAAAATTCAAGTGTAATTTTTTCCCATAAATTATAAAAATATCTTATCATCCATGCTGCAATTTAACCCACATATAGCATTTGATATGTTAATATAAATATTGGCTAATTAATTATCCCAAAAACAGAGAAATGAACTAAAAATAATTCAGAGGGGACAAACCTTCTTGTCGACGTAGTCAGCCCAGAACGGGCCTGGGCTCGCTGGTAGGGATCAGAGGGGAGGATGGGGTACTTTTCCTTCCACACCTCGTCGACGTACTGAACGGCGATGAGGGACTCGCAGACCGGCTTCCGTTGTGGATGAGCACCGGGATCTTCTTGTGAACCGGGTTCATCTTGAGGAGGAGATCGCTCTTCTTGGTCAGATCCTCCTCCCTGTACTCGTACTTGACCCCCTTCTCGGCAAGGGCGATCTGCACCCTCATCCCGAACATGCTCGGCCATGTGCTCAGAAGAACCACCTCGTCCGCCATTTTTCACGGTAACTCAGAGTAAAAGTGGTAAGTAGAAGCTGACGATCGAGCTCAAAGGGAAAAGTGGGTTTGGAGGAGATGGAGGATGGCTTGATATAATACGCGGTAGAGGACAGAGACAAGTAGGGACGCTTGTAGCTTTCTGAGGTGAATGCTGTGGAGGGTTCTGGGAGAGAGAGAGTCTGAAGCCCCGGCTTAATTCCATGAGAATCATCAGGTTCTAGATCCTTCAGAGGCTATTGTCACTGCTTGCGTAAATTTATGGGTGTGCAAATTTCCTAGAAGGCCATTGTCACTGCTTGCGCAAATTTATATAATGGGCGAGCAAATTTCCTAAAAGGTTGATGGTAGTATTGAGAAGGGCAGTGCTAAAAATGTCCTTTTCCAAGCTTGATGGTAAAGAAAGTGGAGATAATTTTGGTATTTTTATTTATATTATGCAAAAGGCCAGTCAATCATTAACTTCAATTAATAATTTTTATGCAGTGCCTCCTTTCTCTTATGAGTGGGTCCCATACTATTTGAAGTCCATTCTGTGGAACTCATATCTTGAGAATCCAATGTTTGATATTATAAATTAATTTAATAAATAAATAATTTTAATATTTACATAATTCTGAGGAACAGTATCAATTTCATATTTTTCAATTATAATAGAGATTTGAGTTTAAATTAAGAAAAAAGGCAAGATCAAAAGTCGAGTTTATAATCTTTAAATAAAATTATAAACGGAGTGAGGATTCTAAAAATAACTGAGTATAAACTTATTATAAAATTTTTTAATATTTTTCTAAAAATAGTGAGTTTATAAAACTTTTTAATATTTCACATTTTTCCATTACAAATTTCATTGTCATTTTGGTCCTTAGAAATTTTACATCTTGTCATTAGAAATTCATTCATCTGAAACTCTCCATTAACATTAATTTTATTTTATTTTAAATTCTTAATTAGTTATCTTAATTATAAATTTATTTAAATTTTATCTATTAACTCTTAATTTATTCATATAAATCCTTTAACTGGTTCTAAATTAAAATATTATAGAGTATTTTATAATAAATTTATAACAAAAAACCTTACTTACAGATATTTTTAAAAGAAAATGGATACTGCCCAAACCAAACCAAGAAGGGAGAAGGCAACCCGCAACTGTTAGTGGCGACCACAATCATTAATCGCTGGTGGGGCGCAATTGATTGAAAAAGAAGACACAGCAAATTCGGTCGGTGACTGACAAGATTTGAAATTTCTTTGGGATTAAAGAATAGTGACATTGATCCTTGACATTTGTTTGTTAAATTTTCTCCTACGAATCGTCTATTTTAATTTTTCATCTTAAAAATTTAAAAAATAACAATGTTATAATAATTTTTGAAAAGTTATTATGAATTTTTTTGTATTTTTAATTTAAAGAATATAAATAAAACTGTAATAATTTAACTTCTAATTTTTTTTATACTAAGAAATCAAGTGCCAAATAAAAGAACCAAACGTTATTCCAAAAGAATGTTTGGTTCGTGTGTTTTTTAAGTTTTTATTTTTTTAATAATAAAAAAAATTTTGGCTTTTATTATTGTTTAGTTAATGTTTAAAAATATTTTATTTTGTAAAGTACAAAAAATAAATGTTTTTGGGTTAATAAATTAAAAGTCTATTTTTGATAATTTTTATATTTTTAAAATAAATACTAAATAAAATAAAAAGTCAAATCCAAAACTAAAATTATACACCAAACACGTCAAAAGGTGTGGGGAAGGGCACGAGAGTAGGACTATTACCGGAGGCAAAGATATAAAATCAGGCCGGTGACAGAAATTGCTAATACAACTAGTAGCTATACTAATTATAAGTTTGACTATTCAAATTATCATTAGTTTTATCATTGTGAGTACGCCATGTTATAAATATATTTAATATAAATATATATTTATATATTATTATAAATAATAAAAAATTATAACAATATAAAAAATAAGGATAAATTCTATTATAATTATTTATTAGTTTTATGTTTAAAAATTAAGAAAAGTAAATTTACACAAATTAAAACATAATTGAACATATTAAAATGTAAAAGAAAAAAATAGAAACTTGAATAATAATGGTAAGAATTCTAAAAATTCAATAACAAAAATAATTCTTTAACAAATCAGCACAAAAATTCTTTTAATCAAAACTTTAAAACTCCAACAATAAACTTTAACTTTCACATTTCTTTTCTTTTCTTTATTCTTATTTTTTTTTTCTCTCTTTCTTCCTCTGGTGAAGCCATTTGGATCTCTAGTTTTTTCTACTCTATTTCTTCTTCTTTTTCCATTGTAGCATTCAAGTAATTAAAAGGTAAATCAAGGTGGACTTCTTTCAGTGGGTTAGCTCTGTGGGCTCGCTCTACACCTCCCTCTTATACATGAACTCCGACGACACTATGTGCTCTGAGCAACTCGGGTCTGCGTGTAGTTTCAACATCAAGTCCAATGTGTCCATGTAGGTGAGATTGCCAAACATTGAAATTGGTAGTGAAATTTTTGGTGGTGGCAAAAGTGCCCTACCTCCATAGTTCAAAATGTCTAATTTTGATTTAAAGATTTTAAGAATTCCAGGGTAAAAAGAGAAAGAGCAAAAATTAAGCTAGTAATTCAGTTTTTTTTTCCCTCAATTTTTCTAGTTTTTGAGCAATTTTTACTGGGTTTAAAACTTAAACAGTTTTTTTTCAATTAATCAATCAAACTAGCGAGTTTGCTAATTTCAATTTAACTTGAACTTGCCAGTCTAGTTCAATATGATTTTCAAAAGCCTTGGCTAGAGGGTAGTTGGATGTATCTTTCACGAGGCAGGAGTCTTTGGTTTCTGCGTTTTCATTTTTTTTCCTATTAGGCCAATTTACTTTGTATGTATTGTTTACCTTTTTATGGATATGTAAAAATTTGCAAACTTCATAAATTTTTGGTCAAATTATTATATTTTCAAGAAATTCTATAGAGTTGTTATTATTATTTTTTTTGTTTCTTGACAAATGGGACCTTGATGAAAATTTTTAAAAAAATTCAAAAACTAATTTTTTTTACATAATTTAAAAAATTCCAAACGGAAGTTAAATTTTTAAAAAGTTGAAACTTTAAAAGAGTAGAAGTGAAAATAAGTACATATACTTTAACATATTATTTAATTTAGTACATATATTACTTATATTTAAATTGCCTCTTATACTTTGTTAAATTTGTTATTTTGATACTTCTATTGCGGCCCATTAAAATGGTAGAAGTAATTTTTGCCACTTTGGCTTCCCTTGCCATTTTAGACATGGAGGTGTTTAAATGGTAACCGAGGAGATTTAAGCATTTTATTAATTTCAATTCAAAATTTTGCCATAAAACAACCCCGGACAACTTTGGAATTAAAATGCTAGAGAATTGGTCTTAATCCTCTTCTCCATTACTCACGTATTTATTATTAAGTTTTAACTGACCGAGTCAGTAATCTTAAGATGCTAATCAATCGAAATGTTATGATTTTTTGATGTACTATGTCAAAATCAAATATCAAATAGGTCCTCGCTACTCTATGCCCAACTTCTTGTTGACATACACAACCCACTCATAAGCCTTTGCTGGGTCAGGAAGGCAGCTAGACACGCTTTTCTTCTTCTTGCATCTCTCAGCCCATGCCACCAGCTTTGGGCACTCTGCCTCTATGCTGAACTTCCCAAAGGTCTCCACTGCATAAAATCTGCTACAAAAGGGCACAAGTGCAATATCTATGAAACCGAACTCCTCGCCCCCAAAATAGGGTTTTTCTCCCAGCTCTCCCTCCAGCAACTTGAAGACCTCTATGAGCTCTTTCTTGGCTCTCTCCTGATCCTCCCCCTTGGTCCTTGTTATCTTCTTCATTATGTCGTAAATCTGGATTAATTCATGAAACATTCAAAAGATTAAGCAATTACATCCATCCAGAAGTTCAAGGGTGTGATTGGATAAAATCTTTTTTAAGTGCTTTTTTAAGAATGATTTTGATTTTGTTTTTCACAATTACTCTATACTAGTTTAAAAATTATCAGAAATCAGATTTTTTTCCTTAGAAAAAACACTTTTTAAAAAGTTTGTGTAAACATTTTGAAATATTTTAGAAGTGTTTTTTTGATTAAAAAAGTACTTTTTTATATAAAAACTAATCTAAACGCACCATATTTGATGCATTGATCTTGTTGATTGTGTTCAATCTGTCCTCCTAGTCCAACCAATTTAGAGGCTTGGCTCACATTTTACAAAAGGAAACTAAATTTTTTTTAATAAAATCCAATAACTCCTAATGATCTGTACTAAATTACAAGGGAGAGATATAACTTACCTTCTTGTCAATAAGATCAGCCCAAAACCTTGCTTGTGACCTTAAGCAAGGATCAGAGGGCAACAAGGGGGGCTGATTGCCCTCCCACACTTCATCAATGTACTGAACAATAATTAGGGACTCAGTTATGGCTGTCCCATTGTGAATGAGAACAGGAACCTTTTGGCAAACTGGGTTGTGCTTCAAAAGCAGGGGATTTTTGTTGAACAAGTCCTCTTCCTTGAGCTCATGATTAACTTCCCTTCTCAGCTAACGCGATCCTCACCCGGCGCCAAATGGGCTTGCCCAGGCGTTGAGGAGAACCACTTCATCACCCATTGCACAAGAGCTTAGAGCTAAAAGAGGACTTACTGTCGAAAAGCCAATAAGTTATGACTTGTTTGAGGTGAGTTCGATGGATGCCTAGTCAGGAAATGAGCTTAATTTATAATGGGATTTGTTGTTGAATTGTCTTACATTTTAGCTTATTCAATCTTCAATTTCAATTTGAAGTCCCACAACTAGGAACTTGGTGCCTACAAATCAAAACCAAACTGTGTTTAACGTCACTGCTTACACCAATTGATTCGCGAATATGCTAAGTAGTACCGTCATCTTTATCCGCTTCTACTTCTTCATAGGAATGATCTTGCCTTTTCCAAAAGTGATGCCATGAAACTATTTGTGATATTTTTATACAGTTTATACCCCTCATTTATACGGTATTACTTATCTAACCTGGTGCCATTTGCTGTACTGATCCTCCAAAAAGAAAGATGAAGCTCATATGCATGACACAGACAACAATTGGAATTAGGGAACAGGGGAGCATTTGCAAATTACTGGCTAAACCAATGCAAATATGAAAGTTCATTATTCTTTTTTCGTAGCCCTTTGCCATTGAAAATTGCAGAGGAACCCCACATTTGAACCTATTTTTTCCGAACTTTTCATTAAGCTCCAAAATGAACTGATAGACCTTATCTGGGTCTGGAAGAGATTTTGAAACACTTTCCTTTTCCATGCACCTCCTACCCCAAGCCACCAGGGCGGGGCACTCTGCTTCAAGGCTGAAATTCCCAAATCTCTCTAATGTGTAGAACCTGCTGTAGAATGGAACCAGTGTAATATCCACTAACCCAAAATCTTTCCCCTCCAAAGTAGGACTTATCCCCAAGCTCCCCCTCCAGTAGCTAAATATCTCCAAAAGCTGCTTTTTTGCTTCATCTTGTTCTTCCCCTTTCCCGCTCCATATCTTCCTTGCCGTGACATAAATCTGTAGAAGGATACCCAGTTCAAGAACTCAGTTGAAAATTCATGCACTCACATATATAATTCTTCAAATGCAAAAACCCGGTTCAGATGAGTATTTGTTTCGGAGAAACTGGAACATCTAGAAACTGAAAATTTCTTTGGTTTTTCCCGGTCAATAATTAGAAGAATATCCCAAAATTTCAGGAAACTTAATTGGATTCGTAGTCTATGTTCTGGTTTTCGGTTCTCAATTTTCCTTTTATGTGGTTCCAGAAACAGAAAGCAAGCTGAAAAATCTTGGAACCTCTATTGCCTTTTTTCGTTTTCCAGTGATAATAGTTCCTAAGAATTTACTAGACGTGCCTTCTGAAATTCTCCTGGAAATAGTTTTTCAAATCAACTTAAGGAACAGGTCTTTGTTCCCAAAATAGAAAAGTTGCTTTGAGAAACAAATCAAGGCAGGCAATTTGTTGTTATTCTCAGAATTTTTGGGTTGGGAAACTTTTTTCCTCTCCAAGATGGAGAAGAAATTGGAGAAGATGTGAAAAAATAGTTTTTGAAATTTGCTGTGGTCTTTGTTTCTGAAAACATCCAAGAATGGTGAAAACAGAAATCCAAACAGAAAACAGGAAACAGAAACAACCAAAGAGAAGTGAACTTGCCTTCTTGTCTATGAGGTCTGCCCAAAATCTAGCCTTTGACCTTTGGTAAGGATCAGCGGGGAGGAAAGGGGATTTGTCCTTCCAAACCTCATCAATGTACTCCACTATTATTAAAGATTCAGAAATGGCTTTGCCATTGTGAACCAGCACAGGGACTTTCTTGTGAACAGGTTCAGGCTCAAAAGCAAGGAGCTTTTTTGGTCTAACAAGTTCTTCTCCTTGTACTGGTACTCAATGCCCTTCTCTTCCAAGGCTATTTGCGCCCTCAGCCCAAATGGGCTTGGCCAGAAAATTCAAGAGAATCACTTCATCCCCTATCTTTTATCAGATCCCAAAGGTTTAGCGCAAGCGAGAGAGAACTGAGAAGACCGGCCGGCAGACCTGGACTGATACGAGTAAAGAAAAGGGTATTTGTTAAATGTGCATTATTGCTTGGATGACGTGAGCTGCTAGAATAGCAATTTGATAAGGTATATGGTCCCACGTTTGTAATGAATAAGTGAAGTGGGTTGAGATACCATGAATTTTAAAAGATAGAAGTCTATATCTCTGCGTATGCATCCAAACAGGGGATAAGTGTTTTGACCAGATAAGGAGTTCCACGGGAAGCTGCAAATCATTGAAGTGGGTTTCAGAAAATCTTAAAGAGATCCAAACACGGAATAGGGTTTGTAACTAGATAAGGATTTCCAACCTAAGGTGCAAGCCACTGAAACGAACAGGCATTAAAGGCCGGTGCTTATTTTTTAATTTCTTGAGTGATTTACACGTTGCACTCCTTATTAAAAAAAAAATTAACACTTTACACTCTTAAATTTTTTTAGAGTATAAAATGACAAATTTTATTATTTTAATTACATAATGTAAAACACCCTAATTCCTTTGAAAAAGAGAGAAAGGCCTTGCCAAAGAAAGAAACTATGAGCTTTACGCAGTCAGGAAATGTCCAGATCCATCCAATCGTCGCTTTGATTTCTGTATGAAATGATGGAATAGATCCTCCAACATGGGCCTACTTGCCCCACAGACCTTAATAATGTCTTTCCCTCTCTTCTTCTTCTTCGTTCCTTTCTTTCCTTCATTTTTTTTTTTTTTAACCTAGTTAAATGTTTCATACTGATTGATTGTTGTAGTGACTTTTTCTTACCCGCTTAAATATTACTAGACCCTATTTTTTGTGTCATAAAATTTATGATTGTAAAACACTATTTATTTGCAGCAGATTCATATTAAAATCAATATAATTTAAAACATAAAACCTTTGAAAATTTTAATATATCATATATATTTAGCATATATTTATAACATTTTCTTAAATTACAGGTATAGTGGATTCTTTGGGGTCCAACAGTATTATAACTGACTGATGATTTTTTCTTTGGCCCACTTAGCTGGCATTTGGGCCTACGTTGTGATATTAAAATGAATATAATTTTAAATCAAGGACTTAAGTCTAGAAAATGAAAGTTTGAAAATTGGAGTGGGGTTTAGCTTTCTTACCTGAATCTCAGGTATAAGATGATGTTAAATCTTATTCTATTATTACACTTTACTAAAGTTTCAGGGTGGGTGTGACAAAAATAGTTAATTATTTTGGAAATTAAGTTTTCTATATTGAGTGGGCAGGACTAAGCAAGCTCATGTTTATTAAACCAAATATCATAATATAACATAAGTAACTGAATTATTAAATATAAATTAAGAAATTTATTCATTTCTTATCATATAACTGTTATCTTCAAAATAAAAACATAAACTCATATACACATAACCTTTACCTGATTTTACCGTTCGCTACACTACAACCCAACAATCTATAAGACAACATAATTAAGGTTCAACCTTTTTAGACTTTACTGGTCGCTATTGTTAAGACCTGTAGACCCTACTGGTCGCTATTGTTAAGACCTGAAAAAATAAATAATGGTAAGACTAATGCTCTAATGAATAGTTCTCTAATTAAAATCACAAAAGTAGAAACATTTTCATATAATAATATAATACAAAAACTTTTTATAAGATCTTTATAAATAAAAGAAAAGTTTAGAAAACTTTTTCGTGATGGCATTTCATTTTTTAGTGTAACATATCATATCATGAGATAAAAATCATGTGTTCATAATTTGAAAGCATTTTATTCACCTTTTGAACTTTTAGATTCTACCATACCCAAGAAAAGTAGTTAAAGGCGAAAGAAGAAAGCAAAAATGTGATGGATCTGTTCGTTAATGTTTGGTTTGACATTTACATAGATAGAGAATAGCATAATCATTACATAACATAATAGAAAGAATCTACTGGGTACCATTAGTTATAAAGTTTCACTCTACAGTGCACTGCTTGTATAGATAAACAAACATAACTTTGGTGTCGTTAGGCTAACTAGCACGGGTCATGTGGTATTGCCATGTAACTTGAATACCTAACTAATTATTTGGGTGAAAACATACATTTCATAAATCAAATATATAGTGTAAAAATGTAATCCCTATTTCCATTTTTATCATATAAAAATATAGTAATAGCATAAGTAGTGAAGAAATCACTTCTTGAAGGTTAGCATCCTTGGTTTGAAATAAAAAATGGTTTTGAAAAACATTTGTTTTCACTATTTTGAAAAATATTAAATTTAGAAAGAAAACAACTCATATCTACTAATACTCTGTCATATTAAGATTAGTCTTGTTGACGTCACTACTTGGTCTATAAGCCTCTCCTATTAGAAAATAATATGCATGATTAATGATGTCTCAATTATGAATAAATGCATGATTTACTAAAAGTATGATTTGGAATTAAATTCTCATTTCTTGTTTCTACCCTTAGATTGTTTTCCTTTAATCCCCTAACTTCTCATTTATTAACCCTCACTTTAAATGCACTTCAAACATGTTTGTAACTCTCTAATGGTTTGGCCAAGGATACTATCAACTGTCTAAGGTTGCTGAATTTTATTGCCTAAAATTCCCTTAACTTAGGTTTAAAGTTTGGCAATCTTCCTAAACCTACTTGATTTTGATTGCATTAAATTACTTTAATCACTTCTTAAGCTCTTGCCTAGACACAAAACTAGCTCAATCTAAACCCCTCGAAGGTTCGACCAAACTATATCTGAATCTCCAAAATTTCTGATTTAGTCTTTCTTATTTGCCCTAACTCAAACTTATAGTTAAACAACTTTCAGCTCTTCCTTGCTTATCTCTCTCTATCTATCTATCTATCTATCTATCTATCTCTTTTTTCTCTTTAGTTTTGGCCCTAAGCTCCCTTGTTTAACTACTAAGGGTCAATTTCCTTTATAATCTTAAATCACATAAAATCTTCACAAGTTTCAATTAGGTTTACACCTTCTATGGTCTAGCCATTTCCTTATGTTCCTAGTAGGGGTGTTCATAATTCGTTTTGATGCTCAAATTCAAACTAAACCATACTTTGCGGTTTGAAATTTTTATAAACTAAACCGAACTATGGTTTATGGTTTGGTTCAGTTTCAAATCACGGTTTGTGATTTACAAAATAAAATGAATTAAATTCACTATTTTTATAAAAATTTTAACAGAGTTTTCTTAAAAATTAGTCATCCATTTTTTCCCAAATATGTTTAACTTAATAAATTCATTATTTATTAATCAACTATAATAGTTATATATTTTATAATAAATATATTTATACCATTTTACAGAATTTCACTATTACTAATAAAAATTATACTCTAAAAAAGAAAAATAATTAATTATTAGAATGAATATAAATATAAAAGATAACAAAAAGAAGAAATATACAGTCAAATAATAAAAATATAATATATATAGAAAGATAGGATTTTTAATTTTGTATATATATATATATATAAAATTATACGGTTCGTCCAAACATCAAATTCAAATCAAATCACACTCTACGGTTTGGTTCGGTTTATGCGATCTAATCGGTTTGGTTCGGTTTGTTGAATACCCCTAGTTCTTAGTCTATCTGCAGCTCATGTCTCCCTTGTTTTGTAGCTCCCAGAGTGAGCCAAACTCCTCTTTTTCAAACTCTAAACCTGGCAAAGAAACTGCATCACCCTCATGAGGACTTCTAGCCTCACAATCAAGCCAAACTCTTAACAAACATAATCTTTTCGATTACTATGGTTAACGTAGATTTCATTTCCTTTCAAATTCCCCTTCTCTTCTTTATGAAATCAGCCACTAATCTTCCTTTAAACAGAACCAAAACTGGTTAAGATAAGAAAGAAAACAAACTGGTCACAAACACTAAACTAGTTGTACATAAATTGTGCAAAAAACTAGTTGTACATAACTTGTGCAAAATTTCACCCAAACAACCTAAACTAACCACTTTCTTGCGTTTCGGTTTTGGAACTCTCTTCACATTTGTTTTCCCTCAAAATTTCAAAACTTCTCCCTTCCCAAAATTTAGAAATCAAACATTAAAACTTGTAGCAAATATATAACCTAACCCTAACTAAACATAAATTGCACAAAAACAACACAAAACCTTAACCAATTTTTTGCCCCTTAAAATCTCAGTTTTCTATATGAAAACAATTCCTAAATACATAATAAACTGCTGAAATGAAAACAAAAATATGGTTGTAACAAAAAATAGAAGAAAGCTCTAAGAAAACTTATCAAAATCCTTACCAAACTCCAAGCCCTAGCTCGATTCATTCCTTCCCTTTTTTTCCTTCTTCTTTCTTCAACACTTAAAGATTTAGCCTCATTCGTCCAAAAAGGGACAACAAAATAACTCTTAACACTTTTGATGAATAGGATCCTCAAAGGAGGCAAGTATAAAGTATATTTACAAAAGTTATCAAGTGCAAAGCTTCATATAACTCATTTCCAAAGATTGGTGTTAACAAGGCATACTCTTGCTCCTTATATAGGCCAAGCTAAGGGTGCTACTTTCTTAAGTTTCTGATGTGTAATTATTCTTTATATATAACTAGCTTGAGGATTAAATTCTCTAGTTTTTCAATGTAGGATTTTTACCAACTTTTGGGTTGTAATGACCTAAGAACTATTAGGTCTAATAACTTATTGAGTTTGAAATATTGGTCCAAAATGCTTAACTTCAAGTTGTTCAGTAGTAGTTTTTAATCTTTATAAGTCTAGCATCTCTCCTGTGTTTTGTTGATATGAGATTCGCCTAAGGGTATCACACACATGCTCTCTCTTTAGGATGTCACATACATCCCCCTCTTTAGGACCCAGTGTCCTCGTTGAGATTTGCCCCACCACTATTCAAAGTTACACGTGAAATGACTCTGATATCATTTGTAATGACCTAAGAATTGTTGGCCCTAGTAACTTGTTGACCGTAAACTATGGGTCTAAAATGTTTAAGCTCAAATTGTTTAGTAGTAGTCTCTAATTTTTTATAAATCTAGCATCTCTCTCATATTTTGTCAATATGAGATTTATTTAAGAGTATCACACACACACACACTCTCCCTTTGGAATGTCACACGAGTGGTGGAAAAGACAAGGGAGGATGTGCTTTTGGTCCTACTTAATGGTTAAGAAAATGTGAAATGATCTAAATACTCTTCTCTTGTTTGCTTAAGAGCTAAATATTTGTAAAATTACACTTTTTGCCCTACACCTTCTCAAAGGCTAATTAAGTATGAAATTATCTTTTTGCCCTTTCTATGGAAAATCATGCCATATCTTTAATGAAATGACTAAAATGACCTTACCCTTAAAGATTCCTTCCAATCTTGTCCTCTTGAGCTACTTTTTTTCAAAATTACTTTTCTACCCCTTGTACATTCATAAAATACCTTTCTTGTCCCTTGAGATTAAGAGTTTAAAATTAGGGTTAAATTACAAATTTATCTCACTAATCTTACTTAGCCCAAGATCAACACTTTTGCACTAATTTCCTAGATTTTCTTTACTAACCTTTCCTTACTTTCAAATTTATTTCCATCACCTTATCAGGCTCATTTCTAGACATCCTCAAAGTCCCAAGATCATTTGTCAAAGTTGCTAATGAGAAAAAATTTAATTAACTCTCAATTGGTTATAACTTTCACTAAATGTACTATAAATGTCAAAATGAAATATAATGGTGTAAACAACCAAATAATTAGGGTGGGCACGAGGTTTGGGATGTTACAATTTTTATTCGGGTAAAGCAATTACACCTCAAAAAAAAAAAAAAAATCTAAAATTATCTTTTAGTGAAAAATGAAAACAGTCTGGACGACAATTCGCCTTCATGGATGTTGTATAATTACATGTCATATTTTTATTTATATTAATATGTTCTGAAAATTTCATTAAAACTATTAAAAGATAATTTATAATAAAAATAAGATTAAAAGTATGTTAAATGTATGTGAAATAAATTATTATATAATCATATTGTATTATATTCATATTTTTCTTAATAAATGTAAGTTAAATAATTATATTTATTCAAAATTATATACGTATTGATAGCTCTCGTATTTTTCTTGCAAGATATAAAAGCAAAGAATCTCCATAAAATTTCCCCAATAAAATAAAATTTATTAGGTAACTAAACCTGCCTTGTTTAACCAACACCAAACGAGAAAATTTCCCTTGGATGACCCAAAAACTTGTAAAACTGAAATGCAAAAAACCCAACAGCCGAATATATTATAATTTTTAAATTCAAGTTTGAAAAGTTTTAAATCTTAATTTTTAACTTTTCAGTCTTTTAAATTTAAAAAGCAAATACAAGTACTTAAAAAACCGAGCGACAGTTTTCACCGAGGAGCAGAAACCTTCTTCTGGAGTTCCACATAGAAGTCATAGACCTTCTGAATCCAACCCATTTTTCGATTGTTCTAGGAACCGATTGACTTTCTAACACACTTTATTTTATATGCTAAAGATTTATAAATAAAATTTTGGCAGCAATTAAATCTTCGCAACAGCAATAATAACAAATAGATTTATAAATAATTTTATGTGCTAAACAGGTTACCGAACAAACATCGTGTTGGTAAATTTCAAATTTGCTAATTTAATATTCTAATAAAAATTGTTAGTAATTTTTTTTAAAAATAAAATTTTAAATTCAAAAATTCCTAAAAAGTACCGACACAAGTTTTGCAATGGTAATTTTAATAATAAAAAATTTTATTTTTTAAAAAATTACCGACACAATAATTGTGCCAGTAATATTTTTTAAAATTAAATTTTTAATTAAAAAATGAATAAAAAATTACTGACACAAGCTTCGCATTGGTAATTTTGAAAATTAAAAACTTTATTTTAAAAAAAATTACTGAGGCTTTCTTGCATTTATAAATATTACATACACAATTTTTACGTTAGTAATTTTGATAGAAATCTTGTTTGCATCATTTTTTTTTTTTGCATAATTGGATATTTTATGAATTTTCAAAAATTTTTGTCCAAAATTGTGTCGGTAAACCGACCCAATACCCTGCGTCACTAATTTTGTGTCGGAAATCCTATTTTTCTTGTAGTGATATCTCTCAAAGCCATAAAATCATTTCTCAAAGTCACTAACAAAAAAAATTAAATTAACTCTCAATTGATTACAATTTTTACTAAATATATCATAAAAGTCAAAATAAAATATAATGATGCAAACAATAGAATTACTAGGATGGCACTATGTTTGGGATGTTACAATTTTTGTTCCCCTAAAGCAATTACACCTCAAAAATAAAATATATATGTATATAAAATCTAAAACTATCTTTTAGTGAAAAAGGAAAGCAGTCTAGATGACAATTCGCCTTTATGAATGTTCACATATTTACATGTGCTATTTTTTTTATTTCTATTAATAATATATTCTAAAAGTTTCATTAAAATTATTAAAAGATAATTTATAATAAAAATAAGATTAAAATTATGTGAAATAAATTATTAGATAATCATATTGTGTTATATTCTTATTTTTCTTAATAAATGTATATTAAATAATAATATTTATTCAAAATTATATACGTATTAGTACCATAGTTGGCAGCTCTCGTATTTTTCTTGCAAGATATAAAAGCAAAGAATCTCCATAAAATTTACCTAATAAAATAAAATTTATTGGGTAGCTAAACCGGCTTTATTTAACCAAAACCAAACGAGAAAATTTCCCTTGGATGACCCAAAAAACTTGTACAACTGAAATTCGAAAAACCCAACAGCCAAGATTTTATAACTTTTTAATTCAAGTTTAAAAAATTTTAAATCTTAATTTTTTTAACTTTTTTCAGTGTTTTAAATTCAAAAAGCAAATACAAGTACTTAAACGAGAGACAGTTTTCACTGAGAAGCAGAAAGCTTCTTCTGGAGGTCTACATAGAAGTCATAGACCTTCTGCTTGTCAGGGACAGACTTGGCCACACTATCTCTCTGCATGCACCTCTCAGTCCAGTCCACAATCTTAGGGAACTCTTCCGCCACGTTTATCCCACACTCCTCATAGAAAAGGAACAAGCTGGAAAATGGGATAAGAGCCACATCCACAAGCCCAAAGCCCTCTCCACCAAAGTATGGTTTTTCTCCAAGCTCTCCCTCCAGTAGCTTAAAGCAGCTTATGAACTCCTTTTTTGCTGCTTCTCGGCTTGCCCTTTGGATATCCACATCTCCTTCCCTAGGCTATGAATCTGCACAACAAACCATATACCGTATGCCAATGAGATCAAAACAAACCCACAAAATAACTTCTATTAAACAATTCAACTTTACGACGAAAGACCCAATTTTAATGAAATGTGCAGAATCTGAACAGTGGTCCCATGTCACACGAATAGCTGAATTTGATTTATTTGATATTATGTTTAAGTACACTATCTTAATCTCTGGTAAGAAAGGTGGTTTTGCACCTTGTGAGTACGAGAGATAGTGCCCTCAAGATAGTAAGAGATCACTGAACCCATGCCTCATAGAATTAACCGTTTTTATTTTTATTTGGGTATTTGTTTCCTTTTTTTTTTAAAGATTAATCCATGTTACTTGGATTGATAATAGAATAAATTTTAACCTAAATTTGATCTGAATTTTAGGATTTGAATTCAATTAAAATATTTGATAAATTAAATTGATTAGAAATATTAGTGATTCAAGATAAGTAAATCAAATATAAAATTAAATAATTTAATTTGTTCAAAATCTACATCCGAGTTTTAATAATATTTTTTTTATTAAATTAATAAATTTATATAAATACATAATATAAAAAAATTTTAATATGTAAAGACTAAATTGAAAAAATTTAAAAATTTTAAAACTAATGTAATTGGTAGAATAAAGTTAAAATATTTAAAAAATATTATTTTTTATTAATTTTTTTTCAAATTTAAATTATTTATCAGATTTAAAAATTGATTAATAGACATATATACAAAAAATTTCAAATTAAATTTGGATATTCAACTTTTTAATTAAATTTCAATTCAATTATAACTAATTTGATCTAAATTCAATCCGTTTAAGCACTATAAACTTTGAAAAAATCTAACGTTTTTTTAACTGAAAACGGCTGAACTTTTTTTCAAAAATTTTCCTCAGAGAAAGCCAGACTTCTTTTATACAAAATCAAAAGACCATTCAAAAAGAAATAACTTTTCAATGAATGGGGCAATTTTGATCAAAGCAAACGGCCATATTTGTTTTCTCCTGTTGCTGCTTTCTATCCTTGAATTAGCTAATCTCATGAGAAGCTCAGCAAAAGATTTCGAGTTTCATAATACCAAACATGTAAGACAACGTTAAAACATGCATATTGCTTATATAAATTTAATGCCCTATATACCTTCTTGTCTACGTAGTCGGCCCAGAACCTGGCATGAGCTCTCTGGCAAGGATCAGAAGGCAATAGAGGAGACTTGTGCTTCCACACCTCATCTATGTACTCTACTATGATGAGGGACTCGCACACAGGCTTCCCCTTGTGGATCAGAACTGGGATTTGCTTTTTGACTGGATTCATCTCGAGGAGCAAAGAGCTCTTGTTGAACACGTTTTCTTCCCTAGACTGATACGCTAACCCTTTCTCTGCCAAAGCTATTCTCGCCCTCACCCCAAATGGGCTTGACCAAAAGTCCAGCAGAACTATCTCCTCCTCCATTGATGAGATCGAGATCGAGATCGAGATTGAGATTGAGAGTGAAGAAGGAAGCTGCTGCCAAATAGAAGAGGGTGGAGAGAGTACTTATAGGACATATTTATGTAAGGTGAGAAAATTCTTGTAGCAGTTGGAAAGTTGGATCTCTGCTCTGGACTTTGACACGCTTCCCTCCATTAACCACTTGCGTACTGCAACAACAACCACAAATCTAGGTGAAACATTCAACAAGCCATTGTCAAACGCTCATTGTCTACTTGGAAAAGTATGAAAATGTCTGACCCTTCTTATAGTCAAAGAAATTAGGTGGGAATATCTCTTCATTGATTTTTAAGTTGAAAATTAGCGTGACATTAGTTTTAGAAATTAAAAATGTGACACATCTATTTTTTAAAATTTTATATAAGTTCCAGCATGATGCCCGGTGCCAATGTTTGGCACATTTTCAGCCCTTTTTGGATCATTTAAACCTCATATATAAAAGTTAGTAAGGTCAAATTTGTCATATAAAAAAGGTAGAAGAAAAGAATAAAAAAACGAGTATTGCTCACCAAAACCAGCAGACATGGCAAAGAGAAATTGGTCTATTTAAATATATTAAAACTGTTTTGTTTATTTTCAAATGGTTTAGAATTCTTATACTATATAAATAATATTTACATTTAAATTTAACATGAAAGTTAAATATTACACGTGACATGCATGTCACAAATTTTAAATATAAGTAGTGAAAAATTGACTAAAATTATAAGTAGTGAAAAATTGACTAAAAAAATAGATTGAGAGATTACACCGACATTATATTGAACTTGCGAGACAGAAATATTGACTAATATGACCTTAATTAAAATTTAGATAATAACTATGGGGCTTAGCCAAATTAACAAATAGATCTCTAGATGGGGAAAATTATGTTTAAAACTTTTTTTTGAAGTCAGAGGATCCGGTTGAATAGGTGAGCACTTCATGCATTGACAAAGAAAAACAGAGTGAATCACAAGGCCTAAACCGCAAAGATGGCAAGTGCTCAGCTTTTCACAAAAGTCGTAGTCAGAGCATTTTTAGCGGTGAATGACAACACAGAATACTTTAAAGGATTAAATATTATTATTATTATTTAGAGGACAAAGTGAAAAGGAGTGACAGTTGAGTGGTGTATTTTTTTCACTTGCAAACTCTCATTGTCTTCTCCGAAGACAGAAAAGGGTGTGGGTTCTATAATTTTCTGATGGAATAACAAAATACTGTAGAAAATGAGGTAATGCCAAATAAAAGTCAATAAGGTAACTCCATTGAAAAGCTAGCATACATTCCGAAGGAAAACAGAGTGAATCAATTGGCTTAAACCATCCTCAGATATGAAATGAAACATATATGTCAAGTTTAAAAATTTTCACGCGCAATATTAAGCAAAGGAACTCCATAAAAATAAATAAATAAAAAAATGTTTTTGATTTATAGAAACGAGGCTCCCTCTTTATCCATCTTGCTTTTCAAATTGCTTGCCTAACAGTTGAACCGATTTAAGAGTTGAATTGATTCTTGGAAATGGCATATCTAATTGTCTCTAGGATTGATAGCTTATGTTCAATCTAATTGCAAAGATTATTAAATTAATTCATATTTAGATAAAAAATATATTTGTCCACATTAGGTAGTCAAATTAGAATATACACTTAATGAATCTCGTTAATTTCATATTATATAAAAATATAGTAATTTAAATTTAATAAAATATTTCTATAACATTTTGAGAGAAAATTATGAATAATTTAAAATTATAGGTTAACAATTTCAACTTGTTGTAAATCAGAAAAATAATAACATATTCCTAGAAAAGTTAATAGAGAGAATCTAGAGTTTTCAATTCCCCTTAGCACTTCATTTGAAATTCTCACTGAGATTTATTTTATTAATTTAATTCTATTTTTAGTTTATTATTCCTTAGCTTTTAATAAATATTTGGATAGAATTAAATTATGTTTATTTTAATACCTAGTGATTAATTTTACATTATCTTGTCATGGGAATAATACTTTATTTGTCATTATATTGCTTGTCATGACAAGTTACTTGAGTATTTATATATTATATATATATATATATATAAACCAATTCAAAATAATTCATTTTTTTCAATAATTAATTTCCATATATACGAAGAAGGAAGAAGTTATGCAAGTCAATTCATTTGTAATAATTAGTTCCTATGCTTTTCTTTTTTTTTTTTTTTTTTACAAACACACACACACACAAACATATACACACAAAAGAAAACAAATTACGTAAATCAATTCTTTTCCGATAATGAGATCCTATATACATGTACATATGTATGTCTATGAAAAAAAGAATCAATTTATGTAAGTCAATTCATTTTAATAATTACTCTCTCTTTTCCTTCTATATATACATTTGTGTACAGAAAAAAGAAACAATTCATATAAATTAGTTCATTTCCAAAAATTAATTTATATTTTTTTTCCATATATACGGAAAAAAATAATATAAGCAAATCAATTTCTTTTTAATAATTAATTCCTAATTTTTTTCCATATATATGAAAAAAAAGAAAATTAAAAAGGAATTGACTTACTTAAATTGTTTCATCTCTCTCTCTCTGTCACGGCCCGAATCCAGGCCCGTGACCGGCACTAGGATCCTCGACCCTAGTTAGCCATTCTATCGCAAACACATGCCAAAACTAACCCAAACATATATATATATATATATATATACATCTCAAACCGTCAATTACAAAACTAGGACCCTGCCTGAGTGATAAAGAGAGCTCTAGAGTACAAAACAGGTAAACAAAGAACTCGCCCGTACATCAAATGAAGTGGCAGACAACCGTCTCAACCCTAACACGCAACTCGAGAACAGTAATCTATATCTGGAAAATTTATACTAAGTGAGTCGCGAAACTCAGTTAGTACAGATGATACCTACTCTATGCATGTTAGAATATATATTATGACACAGCTCGACAACCATACATACATATATAGAAATCAATAAGACACATCAAGCATATTCTGAAAGATACCGTCAACAGAGTATCACATCACATCACATCACAACACATCAATTCACATCACCACACCGGACCTAAGTCTACTCACCACTAGACGCTATAGATCACCGTACTCCAATTGAGTTCCTGGCATCGCAGTCACCCCACACGACCCAGGCCGACTCACCACTGGACATTACGGACCACCATACTCTAGCCGAGTTCTTGGCATCGCTAGTAACTCGCCTGATCCAGGCTGACTCACCACTAGACGCTACGAATCCATGCTCTAATCGAGTTCCTGGCATTCCCACATCACATCGCGCATTTCAAAACCGTACAGATACCGACATATACACAATGAGCAATACCAGCATCCCAAACACGCATGTGTGATATTATAATGATCACTGAGACTCTGGTCTCGATTGGAGGAATTCTCCGTCTTGCGATCAGACCCCAACACAGTCACATATCACGCTCCCGGTCGAGAGGCATCCTTCTTCTCACGACCGGAGCCACACGCCCACCCGGGCAATCATACCGTGCTCTTGGTCGAAAGGCATCCTCCTTCTCACGACCAGAGCCAACGGTCTCAGTGCATCACCGACTCTGCATATATCCAATCAAACAGACATACAAGCATATACAGCCCACAATCTCCAGGCAGTATCCCATACCAACAAGTATAAATCCAAAGCACATGCATATACCATAGATCAAGACCAACTACGTATGAACATAGTTCACAGTACACAATAAAATGCATATCACCTATCTCGAGATTCATGTAACAAGATATAGTTCGCAAAATTCATGCAATCATCATGCTAGAAAGTAAGTATGAAAACACATGTAAAAAAGGGTATCCTCACTCACCGTACAAGCTAAATCAAAAGAGGTCTCAGGTCACCTCAACCCACTCTACGGTCTGAGTGCTCCCCCACAGATGAATCTGAAGTTAAAATCACACAAAACCGTCAACAACCCCATCAATAGCACAAAACAGGCTCGACAGCCTAAAACTAGATTTAAATTCTATCCCCGCGCCCGACATGCATCCTGAGGCACCACTACCCATCACGGGTCCCACGCGACTCACTTAACACTCACACTTTGGCTTAACAACTCTTAACAGTAAACGACAGCCTCCACAACCCCCAACCCATAGTGAACCGATATCTGAAACCCCCGAACCAGCCTAACCCGGTCTAAAACTATCTCGAACTTAACTAAATCGATCACGAAACTCTCAAAATCGGATTTAGAAGGTCCAAAAACCTTAAAAACCATTTTGAACCGGCCAAAAACCTCTTAAAAATTAACCCGAACCAGCCAAAAATGCTAATTCTAAGCATAGACATGCAAACCAAGCCCGGTTCACCCTGAACCAGTCATCCAAACATCACTAAATTTCATGATCAGCTAGGTTTCATCATGTTGAACCAGGAATTGATTCAATCTCCCCAAGAACCGGCCTAAAAACTAGTGAATCGGTCACTCGAAAGGTACCACACCAACCAACCAACTCACCTTGTACCGGTCACTCAAAATTTCCCAAATCCACTTGGTTTGATAGGTATTTTCTTCCTGAATCTAGAACCGGTCCAATTTCCCAAAACCAAGCCTATTTGACCACTGAACCAGCCGGTCAAACATTGAACCGTATCTAGCCGGTTCACTCAACTCTAAAACCCTAATCCCCAAATCCTGGATTATGCTATCATCCACTATTCCAAACAGCCCTTATCCTTGATTTCTTATCCCCTCGAATAACCTAACTCGATTTCCCTTCTGGGTCAACTCCGAGTTGAACCCACCCTTTCTCACTGGTTGAGTCGACATAGCGGGTCGATTCAACCCAACCGTCGCCTGGG